CCAAAGGAACTGCTATACAAACCTTAATTGATATGCGCTACAATGCAATACAAGTTTTCTGTAAATGACATGAAAGTGCTGGATGTCAGGAAGCTCCTTACACAGCTCCAACATATCTGTCCAAGACCTGATGTTATGAAACATCAATTTAAAACATTTCTGAGAAAGTACAGAGATCATCAGTGACTGCCCAAAATCAGAAACTTATGATTAATGATATTGTTCTAAATCCTGATATTCAGAAGCATAATAAAAATAACTTAGGAAAGCAGAATCTTATTCATACCTACATGTCACAGCTAAAAGTCATACTTTGAATTCAATTACCTGATAAGTCTTCAATATTATGCATAAAATATGAAAATCTGTTTCTTACCAAGAAGGTAATGTCAAGTGTATGGCAGCTACAGACTGCAGCAGCCAGTTGATCATACAGCAGTCCCACACAAGTCACACTGTTCTGCACTCTCTCCACAACAAGGTCTGAAATGTGTCATGTAAACCATGGAGGCAGAAAATTGAGGAGGCCAAGGCCTGATATGGGCTGTAGAGCCATTGGATGGATGGAAAACAATAAGTAAAAACAAGAAACAAAGCTCATTAATTTAGAAATATACATTTAAAAATACATTTTAAAATATAATTTTAGACCAAATCATGTTAACTAGCTCACAACATAACTTGATGATTACAACAATATAAATACCAAATCCCACCATAAGACCTGATCACGTAAGTCCAGTCCACAAGCTCTCAACATATTTCTGCAAGATATGTTGTAATATGATACTGACACATATGTATAAGTAGTGTAAATGGTATCAAACACTTTAGTCTTATAAAGGGTTTGATATACATCACACAAAAGTAACCACATCAAAATTTCTCATTTGTATTTGGGTGCATACATACCCTAAATAAATTACCTAAAATAAGAGTACATGCACAATGCATAGTAGAGGAAGAAAGGAGGAAGCAAAACAAAAAAGAACACTTTGTGTCTGGGATCTTATTCTAATAAATGCTGCTTCTTTTCTCTACTATTCAATTTTCATATTGTCACTATTAGGTTTCATCATGTATAATTAAAATATAATTTATTTACCAAAAAGATCCTTAGCACGACTGGCCCGCTCAGATAAATGGTTGTCATCAGTACTAGAAGAAGACAGAATGTCTTCCTGTGCATCTGACTCAGTAGTGGCCATATGTTTTATTGCCATCACTGCTCCCACCACTCCTTTTTGTTTTAATCTAAATGAATAAATACAGTAATAAAAATGCTGGTCTCAAAAGCAGTAATACCACGTGGACCTGTAGATACATATAAAAAATTTAGGGCTGAAGATTAAGATGATATGTTTCTACAGAATATTGGTGTCTGTCCAAAAGTTCACATAGCTTTACAACCCAGAAGACCAACATTAACATCTTCACCACACTGAAATCCTCAAATCTGATCACTAACATGCCTAACAGTGAGAAACAGTACATTCACACTGACAAAAAGGCACACTGTGTGGTGCAAAAGAAATTTTGTGACCAACCAAAAGAATGTTTCTATTAAGGCAAAATGCCTTTAACAAGTTGTTATAGTGAATCATTTATTTCCATTCATACAAATAAGGATCAGCACTTACATATCATTGTAGCTGGAAAGTTGTTTGCGAATCAACATATGGATTTCATCTTGATGCACAGAATCTATACCGTCACCATACACTAGACTACACAGCAGATCCATCACTTGTCCCACCTGAATTAGGTTCATGTCATGCAGATTATCCAGCAAACCCTGCAACATTAGTAGTTATCATCATGTTAACTATGTATGATTTCTATTAGTCCATTTTGTGGTCAAAACAAGACATGTATACTAACAATTGAACTGTACTTCAATGGAACACTTTTTTTAATATTTATCATTGAGTTTATGTTCACCTGCCACAAAGATAAATCTATTTTACCAAATTCAACTCTACTGTTGTAAATCTAACCACATTACAGGTACCATATAGCACAGCGATATATTTTTTCGACTGTATTTCATTAAATATGCATATCAGAAAATACTTTTAGCAAATATTTAAAAGCCCTAATGAGAGCTATTTTTTTAATGTTTTGTGAAAGCTGATGATATTTAATTGGTATTGATAGGATTCATCTGACTCAGGATAGTGACCAACAGTGAGTCTTTAAACATAGTAATGAACCTTTAGCTTACACAAAAGGTGGGGAATTTCTTGTCTACCTGAGCATAAAATCAGCTTTTCAAGAAGGGGTCTGCTCAATCGAGTTAATTAGTAATCTATGTGTTTTTTTAGTGCCATATAAAGTAATCATTTTATTAGTGCAGCAGAGACATAAAATTAATTCAATCAACAATTTTTGGTAAACATCCTCAATACAAAATTTCATCAAAACCTGTTTAGCAAGTTCAGAGATAAAACATGTAGATAAATAAAATATCCCTTAAGAGCTCCTGTTCCAGACACTAAGCTTAAAAGTACAATTCTTGTTCTTAACAAAACAGTACTAGAATGACCACTGTAAATACATTTAATTAATTTATTTACATTATTTAGAGAATCAATCCAGTTGTCAGCCCTCAGATATTTTATACTATGTGCTAGAATAAATAATACAGGTCACATACTAGTCTACTCTGTACACAGAAAACACTTACACATATAAAAGTTTAGATAACACTAACTCATATGTACAGCTCACCATAAGCAAGACAGTATGTTGTAGGAGGTGGCGGGATTCAACACCAGCCAACACTCCTAGCGCCAAACCTGAAATACTTATGCCACCAGTTCCTATGAGAAGCAGCAGTTCCAAAATCACAGACTGACTCTGATAACATTTCAAATGTATAAGCATCAACCTACAACAAAATACTTTTCATTACATAATATAAAAAATGATGTATGTGTGAAGCCAATGTAACCGCTCACAAACACAACAGCAAAAGATGAACAAGATAATATGTACAAAAGGCTGCTTCTACTTTTATCTTGATCATCACGAACTTTACTGTTACTGTTATGATAGGGTGAGACTACATCACTGGGGACCTGCCCTCTAAAAGACCCTTTGTCCATCCCCCAGATAACATATAAGTGAATATGGAGCAGAGGTAGAATGGTAATGACAGGGAAAAACCAAGGAATTTGGAGAAAAACCTGTACCAGTGCAGCTTCGTCCATCACATGGACTGACTTGGGCCTCAGCAGTGATAAGACAGTGACTGCCAGAGCTATGGCAGTCAGCAAGAACCTTGCCGCACTTCTTATAGCAAGTATTCGTAACATACCGCACCTATTCACATAGATTTATACAGCGACTTTCTTAAAAACTTTACTTTTCAAATAGCTTACAATTCTGACCGTGAAATGATGTTGGGTACACAAGTCAGCACCCAAACCTAATAACTTATGACTGAATGGCACCAAACTGTACTTTTGACAACATCAGTTTGGAAATGCAGTAACTACACAGTAATGCCAAAGAGATGGCACAGAAATGGGCTCAATTCTGCAAACGATTTCACCAAGCATTCTTACAATAAGGTATTTTTACTATGGGAAGATTTTATGTAAATGGTGCAATTTCAAAAATAAAGCATGAAAAGGTAAATGTAAAAACAAGTTTTCTTACTTGAACCACACACTTCCTATGTAAGATACAGCTGGATCGGGTGATTTAAGAAGGGTTGTTGCAATTCCTACTGCACTTCCAATGTATTCATTAATTGCCTGTAACAGTGAAATAAAAATTTAATACAGGTCAATCTTTGCACAAATAACCAGATGTGCACCTCATTAAAGAATTCGGTTTTGGTAGCTCCACTGTTTCTACATCAGCAGTCTTAGTATGATGTGTTCAAAGACATAATGCAAACTACCAACTGAAATTCTCACTTTTTTCTGCAGTCATCTTTGCCATATGATAATAATCAGAGAGAACAAACAACTTGCTGAGATTGTCTCATATCATCCTATTTCCATGATGTTGCAGACTATCTTTTTCACAGCTTGTCCTCCACCAATACACAATCATTATCGAAACTATAATGCCACTTAAACACCTTGGACTGACACAGTATTTGACACACACCACACAAAGCATCTGTTTCTGACTTTCCGAAGCAGCTGCAAAATTTGATGTTAGTCCACTGCTCAAGGTGATTCATTCTCTCATTTCAAAACTCTCTACATACTGCACTTTCAGGAACATCACACATGCTAGTCATATGGCAAGTGAATGTTCCCACTGTGTGTACAGTCCACAGATCAGGAGAAAATCCCTGCTAGGAATTCGATATACGCGCATGCGCAAGATTTTGCGGTGAGCGACGACCCATCCTAAAAGTATTCGTTCCACAGCCACTGAACAAACAACAGACAACAGGCTTTCATGTGTTCTAATGGGTATAGCGTTAAGATTTCCTCACAGTGGCACAGTGATTTAATCTAGAATATTATCACAACACCCAAAGAACACATTACAAGTGCGCTCACTACACACTACTCTTAATGGCTTGATGTTTTCAGTCTGTGTGTAGTAGCCTTAAACTCTGACGTATCACACTTCCCACCAATAGCAGCCCTCTAGTCCAGCTGATAAGTAACATTCCCCCCGCACCGCACCAGAAACGACTTCCCCCAGCAGGGTTTTTCTCGTCATCTGTGGACAGTAGGTATGCATGTATGTTGCATGTCTCAAAACATACAAACAAGCCTCAGTTTACCCAACTTCTAAAACAATCAGTGGCACTTAAGTTCAGCTAACCCACCGTGTGCTGTATCAGGCCTGATTCATGTCAGAATGAAAAGTCCAACATGCACTCCATAAATCAAACATGTTTGCCTTTAGAAAGTCTGTCTCATGTAAAATATTGCTGCTATAACAAATAGCTTACACTGAAAGAATAATATGTGGCAATCATATAGTACTAGTTTTAACAAAAGTAAAGACACATACTGCAAGAAATATGCTGAAAGTCTTCTCTATGAGTGCCTCAGTAACAACACCAGCTTTGATACGATTACGCAACACATACTGAATCCGTTTCTTTGGTCCTGGAATAAATGAGTACAGAACGAGCAATATGGCAACATCCAGTGGGCCAAGTTCTGATAGACTACATGAATTTGCTATGGCTTTCAGCCAGATGTCAGCCAATTTCTGCGAACGTAATGCTCCTGAGCGTAAAGCCGATAATATGAGCACCTGGTTGCTTCCATCTAACCCATCTCCTGGATTCAGGTCCAGTTTTTGTCGCAGACCTGCCACAACCTATCAAGGCAAATTTAAGAAAATTATATACCTTTTTAAATCAATATAGAATATAAACAAGTAAAACAACATACAATAATGTTGATCCTACAAATAATTATTGTTTTTAAAAATGCCAAACAAATCTTCAGAACTCATAACTTACCTTTACCAAGTTCTCAATGGGCTCATCAGAAGAAATGAGGAAACTAACTATAACTGGCAGATACTCTGGTGGAGCTCTGTTTAGAGTCTGTAACATGTGTTGGCACACCTCTGCCCTCAATGCATTTTCCAAACTTAAACTGTCCAAGGCTTCCATAATCGCTGCTGTTAGCTGAAAGTTTGTTTTTAAAAGTTCACTGAAACAGAAACACTTTGCAGTCAATCTTCTGCTATAAACCCAGATTCATATATTGAAAAGTTGGCAGCAAGAAAGTAATATCAAACTTCTCATTTACAATCTTCCATCCAAAAAATTAAAAACGTAAGTTGTAAGATTATCATACTTTTCCTATGTATTATTCCTGATATTTTTTCTTAATTACAAATGCCATAAAACTTAAAAGCTGTCCCAATATGCACCATGTAGGCATTTGGGGTGAGTGGAGGTATAGCTCCTCTCTTCCTTGACCTCGGCACTACATGTGGGATGGGGGTGAGTGGTCAGCATCACACCTTGGCCTAGCTTTACACCCAGGAAAGGACCCAAGTACCCACTGGATAGGAGGCTGAGTGGGCCCCAGAGCCAGTTTCGATGGAGAGGCTAGAGGAAAAATCCTCTGTCCCTGTCGGGGATCAAACCCGTCATCCAGTCTGTAGCCAGTCACTATACTGACTGAGCTATGCCGGCTCATAATATACATCCATTATTGATACAATTCAGCTTGCATCCTGGACAGGGTTTTGAGTCTTTTAAATTTGTTCTCCAGCACTAAGTGGTTACTTATCACGGTTGTACAAATTATGATTATTTTTTCATAAAATTTCAGATAGGAAGGTTGAGAAAGTAGGAAACCAACCCACCTGAGCTTCAAAGCTGCTGCATGATGCTGTTTATCACCTAAAATATCAGGAAGACAGAAAATAATCTCCCGCTGAACCTGAAGAATTAAAAAGTTATGTTAAATTTATGAAGGCTTTGCTTATATATCTTGAGATTTAACACACCACCTTTAACTCACTTCCTTGAATAGAATATAGGAAAAGCTATACACAATGAAGCAGTGTGTAGGTACATGTAACAAACATTTATCAAGAGACTTAGATGTCCCAAATGGACTGAACTTATCCTTCTTACAATATTTATCTCTATGCTCATCTAACAAAATACTCATGGGATGTTCATTCTAGTAAAAATCACAGTTGAAGAAGGATTTCAACAAACAAGTGAATGGACACTCAGAGTGGTTTGTAATTAGACCAATAAATGACAAGCAGATCTCAGAATATGTTTCTATTGGGTTTACTTCATAGATGGATACTATAATTTAAATTTCACGACCAAATTCTTCTAACAATCGGTTGTAACACTCCTTAATAAATAAACAAAACAACTCACTGGTAAGGGTGCAGCATCCAAAAGAGAAAAGAGGCGTTCATTCAATGTGTCACCATCCACAATACAATCAAGAAGCCGCATCTGCCAGAGAATAATTCGAACCCAGTGTTCTGCAGCATCTGGATCACTGAGAGAAAAATCATAATTTACATCACATATCTCACATTCTTCAACTGTTAGTATGTCACCAAAGTATGGGAAACAACTCGGCTAAGCCACTGACAAATAAAAATTTCAGTAACATAAATGCAGAGTTTTCAAAATAAATATGATAAAAATATCAATACTTAACAAACAAGATCAGTTGCAACATGGAGTAACCTGATCACACAATCACATAAAAATTTGAACATAAATACACAATTTCTCAAATATCTCATGTGCTGCAGCCTTGCAATAACTTCATCTCTAACTGTAACTCTGCTCAAGGCCTGTGGCTTTGGTTTTCTATATAGCACAGTGTAATAAAAAAAATAAAAAAACTGTTATTGTGAAATCAACAGAAGTTAAAAGAGTGTGGTTTTCACCACATGACAGAGACACTTTGAGAGTTTTTTACCTTAATAAATTTCAACTTGAGCCCCCTTTGTTGCCCACATAAATGTCCTTTTGACATTCAAATGCCCATTAAATAATTACACATGTGTGTGATTCCTTCCAAAACCCTAGAATAAAAAAATCTAGCAGTGACAAGTCTGGAGATATTAGTGGGCAAGGAATTGGACCTCATGTCCTGTAAAACTTTTGGGTAGCTGCTTGTCCAGCAACACTGTCATACAAAATGGAAATAAGGTGGTGTCCCACGCTGCTAGAACAGCAAAAACGAGGTTAGTCTTCTCCAAATGGTGATTACTGGAATTCCCACACCAAAGCTGGGCACAAGGGTTGAATGCTTTGTACTTCAGACATATGCTCCTTCCTTCTCTTTTTCTTACTGAGACATGTCCACTTTATATGAATCGTTTGGCAATCAAACCTCTTTATCTGTATATGTCTTCCCACAACTACTCTTCAATTTTACCTCCCTAACTCCCTGGATTGATTGGTGAGGTATAAACCTAATCAGGCAAAGAGTTCATATACAATAAGACAACAACAGGTGCTGGGTTGCATTGTAAATAAGAAGCCTCTGAACACAAGTCAGTAACGTTCTCTTAATGCAGACACACACATCATTCAAGTAGAATTTTTCAGGATCTGATTCATATTATTTCAATCTACAAAATACATAACTATGATCTATCTGTTTTATACTGAAAAAATTTAGAAAAACTTACTCATCAGTCAGTGCAAACTCTGCCATCTTCTCAAGTAGTATTCCACAGATGTGAGGCTGCAAACATTCAACTGACAGAAGAAGACGAACCAAACTATCTTGCACACTTCCTCGTGCATCTTTGCAGACTGGAGACGTCTGGAAAAGGGAACAACATAACCAATATATACTTGGCGGAACAATCATATTTCATGAAAAATGACAATTTCCAATAAAATTTTGTTTCTTATCCCTTCATCTCTTTTTAACCATCTCTATCAAGTTTGCTTATCTGAGGAAAGATGATTCATTTTGAAATGCAGAAAACTTTACAGGCATTTATGCAGCAAAGTTTCAAAATTCCTTATTAATTTTGCTCCGTCTGTCAATCTGCCTGCAAGTACCAACTGGAGAACCACTGATCAAATTTTCATAAAATTTTATACTGGTAAGACGAACTGAAATTTGTTGACACATTCCAATTTTCGTTAAAATAAAACAATAAGGTTGCTTTACAAGAAGACCTAAATGTGTTTCCTCTAGCCTCTGCGTCCAGACCGGCTCTGGGGCCCACCCAGCCTCCTCTACAATGGGTACCGGGGTCCTTTCCCGGGGGTAAAGCCGGCCGGGGCGTGATGCTGACCACTCACCCCCATCTAGTGCCGAGGTCAAGGAAGAGAGGAGCTATACCTCCTCTCCCCCCAAGCGCCTGTATGGCGTGTAATGGGACAGCTTTACTTTACTTTACAGCAGTAAGTATGGAGATGGCTGTCTTCTAGGATGGATCAAAATGACTGCCCTGATGATGGTCAATTTCTATAAGACTACATGGCATGACATCACAAAAGACAGTCATCTTTATTGTTCTGCATATTTTAATCTTTATACTGTTAGAAAGGAGACAGGAAGAGAAAAGATTAACTATATGCAGCAAGCACTTCCTAAACTTAGCCTGCCTCTAACTTCTTACTGAATGCAATTCAGATTTGTTAACATCATTCTCAAATATTTTAACTCTGCCACATTTTGAAAGGATTTATTGATCACCTTCATATAATAATTTTGTTTTGCTGTCTGGTGATGAGACATTGTGTACCAAATGCCATTTAATTTATGTCTGATGTGTTCTTTACCTTTGAACGAGTTAGCACCTTCTTAAAATTAATGTTTTCATCACAGTACTTCTCAAAACCTGCAATGAAGTCTTCAACATTCTTAGGGTAGAGTGAATTATTCTTAAGATATGATTCCACATCACGAGAGAAAACAGCTTGATCCTGGGCTAAAACATCAAAGAAATTACAACACAAGAGGAAATTAAGACGTTACAATCACATAAGGAGCAAAGTGTAAGTTGTAACAACATGCAACAATATGAAATACTGAAGTAATCACTTTTGTCTGTGATGTTACGTCAATCCAGCACACAAGCCACAAACACTGCAAAATGCCATTCAGTTTCACATCACATATACACTTACACTATACACATGGACAAACCATTGAATCTGATAAATTTCTGGCTAACCTGCATACCCTAAGGAAAAATAAAAGCACCTAACAAATGGTACACTAAACCAATACAATATGTAAGTTAAACTGTGTACATTTTGGGCCTTTGTATCGAGTATTATACACCTCTCTGGTAAAAATGCTGTTTTGCATTAACTGGGTAATGGCCAAACTGAAAAATAAATATGGGCTCAACATCAATTCAAATCTTATTATAATTTCTGAGTGATAACTGTGACTTTTGACTCTTTCACTGAACCCGATTCATCAGTTTTTACATTAGGTATTTTAAATACGTACAGAGTATGTGTGGACTGTCTCCTTGCTGGAAAATATAACCAGCTACTGTCACAACTTCTTCAAAATACGAGCCAAACGTAGTAGTTTTACTGCGTTTCGGTTGTTGAGAACCTACTTGGTCATCAATGTCTTTCCTTTTCTGTGAAACTATCAGTGATTGTGAATTATTGAAACCAAGGCCACTTTCGTTTCCAGCTTCATATTTAGGGGTGGACATCATACGTGATGGAGTTGCTACATTGCTTCTAGGCGTTCTTTGTCTCCTCTTGTACATAGCTAATAGTCAAGAACAAACTTTTCAAAAACTAAACCAAAACATAATCTACGCTACAAACTGCGTTGCAAACCTAACCTGCACCAGTTAGAAGGGCCGCCATAAGCTATTAACAAGCGGTGGAATTTACGAAAATTCAAACCACAAGTGATACCAACACACAAAGCGAGCAATCTACCGTTTTGTTTCAGAATCGTTCCCTGCATTCTCACGAATGTCCTGCAGGAACGTTCTGTGGTCATATGTGGGTAAAATCGAATACACGAGTTCGAATAATTCAAGTTTTTAAAACCAGTCATATATGCTTATTTGATTCAAAACACAAACTAAATTGGATCCTGTTATTCATTAGAACATGACGTAAAATGTATCTGTGAATCGTGCGGACACCTTTACATTCACTACCAACACAAAAATAGATTACCTTTACTGAACTAGGTCACTGATCATCTATCGTGAAGAAGCTCAAATAAACATTTGCACAAATTTGTAAGAATCTGGTAATAAACTGTGTTCCAGATTATGTACATGTTCTACGCTCTGGGTCTTTAACAGCCGCCATCATTCATGTTGCGTATTGTATTTGACGATTAAGGGTGTGGAGATTTTGTACTGTTGTTGCTTAATATTTTTTAACCAGCTTTGAAAGATATGCAGTATTCAAAAGGTAGCAGTAATTCTTCCCTCGAGCCACATCAAGTCGAATTAATAAAACTTGCTGATCTCGCTGGTGTATCAGTGAAACCACAAATTTTAAGGTTAGTGCTCGGTTGCGTTTGGACGGTGTACTTAATTCTAGAAAAACTTGACTGAAGTTAATATAATTACCTTACAGAAACTAGGCCCGTGTTTACAGCACTTGCGGTAGAGTGTTAATTGCATCCGTGTACCAGATAATTTTACTGGGACTGCCGGTAACTGATTAGATCACAGCCGCATCATGCCATGATAGGTAGCCAATCTGTGTAGCTATAGCCGTACAACCATTTCTGGTTATTATTTAAATCATTGTTACTTACAAATTCTGTTGACACAAGACAATTTCTGCAGATTGTAAATGGAGTGGATAAATTTAAGATTATCCCCTTCAGTATTAGAATTTGTCATGTGTAAGTTCATTTACTTCTCAAGGTTTGTCAAGTATATGTAATTAATACTGATGCAACAAACTCTTGCACCTATTGCTTAACTTGCAATGATAGTTTAACATGTGTAGGTTAATTTTTTAAGTCTATCTAGTTATATTTTACATTACACATTTGGTAACTACAGTGCAGTTGCTGGCATGGTTACAGCTCTCAAGTCCAATCTTCATCACCCACATGAAAGTTGAGACATGTTTTATCTTCAACCTTTATCAAAATATGTGTCAATTTTGTGCAGTCAAAAAATATTTTATTACTTCCTGGTTATGCATTCATGAGTTCAGTGTTATATACATATAATACATACAAAATTAAGGACTTTTTCTGATAACATGCCATTACAGAGTTGTTTTAAATGTTCCAGTATTCTGATAGAAATGCTGGGGATGAATATTCATCCAAATTCTCTGCATTCCTTACTAAAGGAAGTTTGCAGTCGCCGTGGGATGACTAGAACATCTCGTGCAAGTGCCAAATCAAAATCAAATAGTCACAAATCAGCACGAACCTCTGAAAAACTTACAGATGTTAAAAGCAAGACTTGATCTCTTCTGTTAGAAGGACTACAAACTTGACAGCCATGCACAAATATGGACAGAGATCTTGGATTTATTTATTTAAATACAAGGAAAAATACAGAACAAATATCAGCTGAGTGTACCAAATCACATAGGAAGGACAGATTACTCAAGTATATTTTATTTATATCCAAAACTGAATTTAAATGTCAGTTATATATAACATTATATCCAATGAGTTTATCCTAAATCAAGGCACCTTTAATTAAAACAAATTATAAGTATTGACATTTTGTACTTGCACAATTTTAGAAAAAGCATGAAATAGGGACCTAATTGCGAAGTTGGACAACAATAAAGTTAAGCAAGCTTCATTTTCAATATATGTTTCATTTTCTCCTATGAGTTTCCCAGTTTATGTTCATAAAATATCAATATAAACAGATGGCAAAAAAGGTTATAAAAAGTTAGTATTTTTAACATTTACTTATTTTCATCAAAATATTAAAAGAGAACAGATAATATATTTATAAATTAAATTACAAGCTTCACAAGATCTGTACAGACTTGTATTGAACATTTCTCACTGTGTCTCAAGATTTTAAAGAAACAATGTATGTCATGGACTCCATAAGAGTTGACCAGATTGTTTTGGTATAGGCAGCATTGCAACTAGAATTATATATAGAAAATATGATAAAAATTATTCTTTACATTTTATACAAGACAGTTGAGTGTGTATAAACAAAACCTCAATCTCTTGTGCGTTTAACCAAACTATTTTATTCACACAACAATAAGATTGATCATCACAGACCTAAGATTGGTTGATTTTCAAGCACATTTTGTTATAAAGCATTAGTGGAAACATCACTAATTACTAGTTAACTGAACAATATAATTACAATCATAATGCAGCACAAAGTACCTGACAGGAATAGTCTGACTTTGCATCAATGTGCTTAACTAAGCGACTAGCTTTTCACACTTTGCTGTTTACAGTCTTACAGATGATGCCTTGTCTAAATGGGTTAGAGAGAACCATATGATGACTATGCCTTCCAAACCTAAAATAATGCTTTCTAAATAGCATCATATATTTTACATAAGTTAATCTAGACTATAAAATTGTGATGGTATATGTGATATACTTAGAGCCATTATTTTAAATTTGCAGTAATTTCTTATTATATATGCTTTAGTGCTACATTTTGTAACACAAATCTGTAAGAAAAAAAATGATATTGTGAGGATCCTATTTCTGAGTGATGGTACCATGTAGAAGTAGGTTGTATTGTTACGATGTTTTGGTGATGCTTACTGTCTCCACCTTCAACATGGAGTGATTACCCTATAATCCTTGCCAGTACTTATGCACATGCTACTCACTCATCTCTCTTTGAATGAGATCAACCCTTTAAAGGTCTATTTTTTGTCTCACTTTCTACTGGCTATCACTGGATGAATCAAATACAGCAGTTTCCACTTGTCTGTACACCTGTACTGTATCAGCAGAGCTACCGAGTACTGGAGAAGGCGACAGTAAGAATCTTTGAAACACTGGCAATACAGGCAAAGTCTATATAGTGTAATCACTCAGAAATATGATCCTGATTATCACTGAAATGCCATGAGGGCCTAAAATCTTTTACTTCCAAATGAAAGTCAAATACTTTTGAAGAACTCACACATTACAAAAGGATCTTTGTTTACTACTGCTAAAAATTATGTTTAGTTCAGTAATGGACTGACACCGTTATATTTTATAATGCCACTCTAGGTATAGCTTCAATGCTTCCCTGTTATGCGTGGTGGTTGATACAAACCCTAGTTAAATTCATCGGCTATACTAGTCATTATTTCAGAAAATAATAGTTCATTATAATAAAATGCGCACAGAAAATCAAGCTATCAGTTAACTTGATGTATTAAAAACGAGATCTTGATTAAATAACATCACAAAAAGGGTCAAAACTTTACATGTCTTTGACACAACATACGTAACATAAATTCTTGCCTTGTTAAGTTCAATTAAATTTCCTCATATTTAAATGGCTCACTAAATAACAGTAATAAAACAGCATCACTTTAATATGTACATGATAACAGTGCTGATGCAGCCACAATGAATATGATCATTCCTTTGAAAGGAATCCATACAATATAGCATCTTTCCAACAGGTTATAATACATTATATCAGTGAAGGCATCTCGTGTATAAAAATATCATTAGCAATTGGTTATTCACAATAATGAAATATTAGTGAAAATGATTTTCTGATGCAGCCCTTGAAAGCATGAGAAATGGATGTCATTATTGAGGTTTTTCCCAATGAATGTGATTTCTTCAAATTTTATGAATATGTCTTGATCAGTATTGCGACTGATTCTTTTTATAAAACAAGATAGGATGACAAACAGTCCAATTTAGAATATTCCCTTAAAATGTTGGCTTGCACAATTTGATACTTTGTGCTGCCAAGGAGTAACTATGTTCAGTGATTCAAATGACATAAACCATGCTTTCTGGAGCCTATATGGTACTTAACAATTGGAGGAGTTAGACCTTGCTACATGTATTATCCATTTCATTCCTGCAGTTTGGAAGGCTGGTCTCTCAAATACTGTAATAAAGTTTTTTCTTGAAAACTCGGGAAGAAATATGTTGAAGTAATATAGCATATGACTTATGCTGCTACTGAATTGGTCATATCAACCATGATGAATTTAGAGCCCCTTATGTTTATATTTTGAACAAGAAATGATGACAGCATCTTAAACCACTTGCTTTTATCCACCAGGAGCATATACTGTGTAGCTTTAATTATTAAAATATGTATTAACTTATATTTAAATGTGCACTGTCTTGTAAACTAAGCTATAATAATGTGATGAGATAATACTGTAACCATCAGCACCTGTTGTGACAAGAATTACTGGCCAGAGCAAAATAAAAAAGAATTGCTGAAAATAAGGCACCTTTTAAGAACCACAAAACACAAGTATTCTACAAAACACCTAAAAATGGCTTCTGCCAAAATGCCACAAGATAAGGTTTGTATAAAAATTAAATATACAAAATGTAGCTGTATATACTAAGAAACAAATGACTATAATGAATTTCACATTCTTGCTTACAAGTGATTTAATCTTTACATTCCATGAATAAGAATTGACATCTTTTATAAATGGAAATTTTAATGCAGTGCCATCATCTCATATACTTTGTAAATTACAAAGGCATGGATAGAAAAGTTTCTGTGAGGTATGCCATAAGTATTTTAACATCACAGTAATAGTCATACTAGGAAGCCCTTAGTCACAGTTGATTTGAACACTATATCATGTCAGCAGCACTAAATAATTTCCGAGTTTTGCAACACGGAAGTGAGCAAAAGAAAGATGCATGTATAGCACCTCCAAGTTAAGTCTGAGAAGTATGGGACAGTTCCCTCAAATGTAAAATTACATGGAGGAAATGCCCTTCTTGGCACAGCCATGCTGTAAAGTACCAGGAAATCAGGTAGCACAAAAAACTGACATTTGAATGCCCTATAACAAATTAACTACAAACTGACAAGTTCTTAGACATTCAGATATCAGGATTCTTACCACATGTTGCCATAACAGGTCAGAATCAATAAAGGTACCCAATTCCTCACTTGTGTTGAAGGACGGTTGACATTAAACTTCGTCAGGTGCTAATTCTTGGGACAGGGCCATAGGTGGAGAGGTGTGGGTATTGTTGAGGGATTCTGATGTTCCCCGGGGTGGTTGGCCCACTCCAAGACCATCTCCCACTCGTCCTTCTTCCTCCCCACCAGGATTCCCTGGGGCAGGTGCTGCAGTCAAGCGAGCCTCAAGGGCTTTGATTCGTGTTTCATGTTTCACTATCACAGCCTTAAGTTTCCTGATTTCTTCATGGAACTCCTCCAGGAATTTATCCTGCAATCACATGAATGCTTGAATACCATATATAACAATAACATGATTGAAAAGCTGTAATATGTACAGAAATATACAGTTTCCACATTCACTCCTTGCAGATTTTGAATTCTGAATGCTGCTACCTGAAATAAAATATACTGTATCATACACATATGCAAGGCAGTAGATTGCAGATAAATTAAACACCAAGTGTATCTCCAATATAAGATTTATTCATAGACTCTCATCCTATCTTATTAACATAAGAAATGAGCAAACTGCTATCTAATGTATGTATTTTCCATAGTTTTGCCAAAGTGCATGAGCATATCTTTCAAGCATTGTTTTCTTTCTTTTCCATTAATTCCATACTTTATCAAAAACTTATTGCTGGGAGAATAGCACAGATTCAGAGGGCCTTGATTCTGTATTACATACTTTAAATGATATATATAGCCTACAATATATGTTTAATGTCTCTTAATCTGTAAATATTAAAAAAATAATATTCTCATAAGATGGTGTCAGTTATCTTACTTAGATGATACAATACTTTTATTTTCCGTCGTTTCACAAGCTTATTGTTAAAATCACATAAAATTTCACATAAAATTGTTACATTTTTAAAATTGACGTCAATTTTAAAAATGTAACAATTTTATGTGAAATTTTATGTGATTTTAACAATAAGCTTGTGAAACGACGGAAAATAAAAGTATTGTATTGAGGAACACAAGCAGGATGCAATTAAGATATATTACTTAGATGACTTCAGTTTCTAACTACACAACCCATGTATTACTTAATGTCTTCTACTAGTCCTGTAAATCACGGACAATAAGACACAGTATGGTTTAGCTATATAGTTAAGTACTGGACTCATAAGCAAGTGGTAATGGGATCAAAACCTGGTCAATTTCTTTTTCATGCAACTGCCATGTTGTTATTTTACTACTGTGGTTGACATTTTGGCTATGGGTCATAATTCTGCTGCCACCAATTGTAATGGTTTGTACTGCCTAGTACATCTAACCACTATAAGGAATTTATGGGGGGTGGGGGTGGTTGTCATTTTCTCCCTGACGAAGGTATGAGTCCCAAAATAAAACCTTTTGTGTCCTGGATCCTTTCCATAACTAATAGGTCCATAGTAGTGAAGTTTGCCTTGACTACCCAGTGATATGCTTATCTGATGTCTAGATAGCTTTAATAATCCAAACTTGTTGCCATACGGAGAGAGAACTGCCTTGCCTACAATAATGTAAATCTATATATACCACCTGATGTCTGTTGTACACCAAATGCCACTGACACCTGCCTCCACAATCAGACTTCTTTCCTGAATGTCTTTGTGACTAAGTTTGGCTTCTGTCAGTAAACCTTATGCTGTTCAACTAATGATGTTGCCAGTGATTTTTGATGATAGTGCATCACGGAAATCTCATCTTTCAAATGCATTATAAGCACTTCCTAAACTGAACTGCTAGTAAAGATGGTCTCAGGATTTAATACCCCAAATTCCAGATACATAATTTATTAAATAACACTAATTCCAACACAAACAACAATATTGGAAGGAAAATATTGTAAAAACATGCAATAAAAATAAATTGTGAGAGTTACTGAAATTATGGTTGTCTTTAAATATTCAAACTCAAAATATTGTTTAATGCAATGACTCAATCAAAAGGGTTAAATTAAACACTTCTGTTTCCAATAATCAATGATGGACACAGGCTGAGATGAGTGTCTTTGCTAACATCCCATGGTACCTGGCTAACCAGCTTGGTATTGGTGTGGGTAGTGGAAAATTTAATTTGCTACATGACTAAACATTGCTTTGAGGAAGAGTTAGTTCGAGAACAAACTGTGTACAAATAAATGGAAAGGATCGTTTGTTCCTTGATCACTGTCGACTCCCCAATGATCATGTATTCAACATCTCTATTTTTTGCATTCTCAGAGGCATACTGAATGTTCAGTAACTATGTCTACAGTGAATTTGAATTTCTTTACCAGTGAGGGATGCAAATTTACTAAGAACTCATTCTGAAAGTATGTGAATTCCAAATTGGATTTTTCACTTGTAACAGTATGTTCATGTAACTTTGGCCTTGCCTCACAGTAAAGTATGAAATCCATTTGTTTTGAGGAAGAAAATAAATGTATCCTCATTAGTTCCAGACCTCTTAACTTGCAGTGATAGATTTTGTGAGGAAGCATTAATGAATTTCAGTTTTAAATAAAGGGGAACATGGTGAAAATTGCAGATTATTCATGCATAATCCAACATGACAATTTTAATGGGAGGGGGGACTCTTTATAATTTTATTACAAAGCAAATTAACTCACAGGCAACTGTACTGTAGCAGCTCCACCTGTAAATCCTGCTGATATTCCTGTGCTCCCTGAACTTCCCCGTGATCCCTTGGGAGGCATCTTGTCAAGTACGTTGGAGCGCCGACTCACTTTCAAATCAAACTTTTGTGTGGATGGGACATAACCTTCACGTAAAGATATGAGAATTGGTTCTGCATCTTTCCCTGCAACCCAATCCTCAGCAGAGATAGCTGGCTGGTCTCCAGCTGTGTCAGGATATAAATCTTCTTGGAACAGCTCTGACTGTAAATTAGTAAAACCTTCGTATTATTATAAGAAACTTCATGTGAGAGAAGTTTTCAAGTGAACTCGTATCTCTTGAATTAAAATTTCTGTCTGATGTACAGTACTGAACACTGTATATGGGGTAAAAAGCATCAGCATTAATGAGAATATTCACTTGTTTTAAAAATCTCATTATAAGAGATTCTTGATGTATTCAGTAGGAAGACAACAGTGGAGCAAATTCAAGAGAAAATGGATCACAGATAAATCACAAAAGTATCAGTATTAAGCGAATAAATCTAAAATTATGCAAACAAATATACCTTCCTTGGCACTGTCATAGTAACAACCTGACAAAGACCGGAGTTGTTCAGCCTGTAGAAACGTGTGATTTCACAACTATTGACATCACAGCCCCTCTTGGGCATCATACCAATGCCCCTTTGAGGATCTGGTGTTTGGAACGTGTTGATATAGTGCACAAAAGGTGGCTCTGCTGTTATTTCAAAATAACGAATTACACTGTCACCCTGAAAGATAAAGAGATACTTGGACAAGATGCATCTATCTGAATACAGACAAGAGAAACCTGCAAACCTTCATGAAATTATGCATTACTTCCATAAAGCACACACCTCATATATAAAAGATCCTCCATCTATAATGTGAAAATGAGATGAGCCAACTTTAGAAGCTGATTGATTATGATGATAATAACCAATAATAATAAATTCAATAAACTGTATTTTGCAGGAAACCACACTTTACTGTTAGCCCATATGAACCAAACAAGATCTCTTCTAAAATTCAGTCATATAAAGCATTTTCTTACTTATATTTATTAATGCTTATCTAATACATAATTACACATGAAACATACTTGTATAAGAACAATTTTATTTGCATGTACTATGTAAATTTGAAAATTAACATACACTGTGCCTTATAAATTAAAGACTCCAGATCTATATAGCTAGTTACTCTGCCTCCACCTTTTAAAATGACTCCAATCTTAATTTTAATCAAATATATATCGTTTTCAGAAATAAAATCCATGCAAGTCCCAAAATGAGGCATGTTACAGCATTCCCATTAGATTACTTGAGAATGAAAGTGCCTATTCCACACACACTGCAAGACAAGGATGAATAAGTAATTGCTTTATGATGTAAGGAAATGTAACTGAACACTACTTTACTGTCATTCATGTAAAATGCACCATACTCTCTCAAACATTCCATTGCCTGCAAATAATACTGTGTAGCATACGTGTATTTGGTACACTGAATTGTGTTTCAGCTTGACTGCATTTTAAACCATATACAATTTGTAACACTGAATGGTGACACTAAACAATACAGTACCCGAAAGAGCTAACATTCTTCAGAAGTGACATAGAAACAACTGGCTACTAACATATATATATTTGAACATTATTACTTTACTTACAAGGCAGCAGTATTTGCTTATTTTAATCATCAGCATCATTGTAAATCTTAAAACATCTTTCTGTATACAAGTATATCACCATACAACACACAAAACAAGTTTCAGGTATAACTAAGAACAATCTTTCAATTCTCCTATCATACTGTAACTGAGAAAACTGACCAAATAATATGGACAAAATATCTAATGTCTTCATTACTATAAATGTTAAGGTGGCTGCAGTCCACCATAATGTATACACATACAAGAGCACCATTACAACATATTTCACTTTTAGGGATTCTGCTTCTCTCCTTGTCACATTAGTGCAGTAGAGAAATGAAGCACTACAACAACTTTGTACACTTCAAGAATGAAATACACATCTCATGATCAGAATACAAAAAAATTATGAAACATGAATCAGGGTCTTGAACTGAATTCAACAGCACTTTAGTTCAAGTGTGATTCACAGAAAAATTGTCACTTGTTTCAAGTCCCATAAATTAAGTACAAAATTTCATATTGCACCTCTGCTATTCAATGAAAACATGCTTAAATATTTCAACTAATGTATGTGTATCAACTTACCTTACCACATAGATAGACAAGATTTGTGTCAGGATCATATAATGGAAACATAACTCCATTGCTTGTGTCCAGCTCCACCATAACAATAGGCTCTGAAAGGTGTTCTGGTGCTCGAAGGGAATACTGCCTTTCAGACATTTTGCTAAAACCCGTTGTAAAGATGAGACCACTTTTAAGAAAGATTGCTCTGGTTGCTTTTGATCCCTCATGGCATACTGCTTCCTATAAGAAGAGTAGAAATAAATATGTTCATTTTGGGCATCAAAATAAAATAATCCTTTGGCTAATCTATCAGGTTATCTTGAGTTACATGAAGTGAAGGGAATGGTTTTCGGAAGTGGACTACGACACAATGGAAAAACAGTAATACAAGAAGCAACATTCAGGGCCTCCACTACTGAACAAATTCTAAGGGAAATGTGGTAACAAAAGTCATCTGTGACTAGCATGGTTTAATTCACAACTTATTAAAAAATGTGATATGAAATTATAATGAAGTCAGGCTGATGTACTCAAGTTGTTATGCACATGCCCCACAGAATTCTAGATAGTATGCCAACATGAACAGGAAAATATAGTGAAATGCAGCTACAGTGACAGATTACTGCATTTGCTGGATGTATTTGAGAGAGATATTCATTTAGATATTGAAGATCTTTCATATGTTTCCAGATTTTAATTTTAATTACTATAGATTACTTACCAGAATTAAATTATAAATAAAATAAATTAGATACAAAATTGTACAGGTTTTCAGGCTTAATATTAAATACATAATTTCTCACAAATGTCCTATAAAGTGAAAGAAAAGCTGGTGTTGGGGGGGGGGGGGGTTGATGAGGTATAGCTCCTACTCATTCTTAACCTAAGCACTAGGTAGGGGTGAGTGGTTAGCATCACCTCTTCTTCTTTAGCACTATGGCCCTTTCAGTGTAGACTTGGCTTCTCTTGGTTAGCATCACTAGCTACAGGAAAAATCCTCTGCCCCCGTCAGGATCAGACACCAGTCGTCCAGTCCATAGTCAGTCATTATACTGACTGAGCTATCCTGGCTCACAATGTGTCAGTAAGTCTCACAAAAAAATTGGTATCATGGGAAAAGGAGGGGTATAATAGGAATAATAATGTAAAACATACTTCAGCAGCTATGCATTTAATTTTGCACAAATTAATATTTCATAACTCCAATAGGATAAGCCCTACAAGTTTTCTGTTAGAATACAGAACAAATCTAACATAAAACTCTCTATGGGCATTATCTATAGGGTTGGTAAAATAAAAGAGGCCCACTTCCTGTGCTTTCTTAATATTATTATAACTAATCTTAGCTTTGATATAGTAAGCAAGAAACTTTATTTTCTGTTTTACATCCATCAATGGAAGTACAAATGCTGTAGAACAACTTCAACATAAAAGCTTTAAAATATGATCTGCAAACTACATATGTTGTAAACATGTATCTTTGTAAAATAAATGTCATGATGAATCTGTGTAAAAGAATGTGAAGTACAAAATACTTGCCTCCTGAACAGTCCCTGTGCGTGGATCAATTAGCCTCATCTTCTTATCTTTGCAAGTGGTAAGAAGCTGAGAGCCATCCCAATTCCATGAAGCACTATACACAATATCTGGATGAGAGTCAATGTGCACTAAAACTTCCCCTGTTCCCACATTCCACACTACCACTTGATTGTCAGAACCTAGAACCAGATACAATATACAAAAATAACCAAAAACTGATTCTGTCATCAGCTGTAAAATTATGTTAACCAGAAACATCTAAAAACATTTATAATTATGATTCACATGATTCTATAGTTCCAGACAATGCAAATATTAAACTACAATTAGTTTATTTTGTGAACAAAGATGTACATCCTGATTAATCACATGTCACATTATTATCATCCAGTAATATTGCCACCAGAGTGGTTTAAACTATGACAACACCTATTATTCATGTTTGAGCACATTAATCATAACATATAATCAAATAATAATGTGTAAAAATGTTATATATTTCATCTTCTAAAAAGCAGTGGTGTTTTTCCTGGGATCCAAGTATGTCTTGTATTATGTTAAATGTGCTCAAAAATTGAAATTTATTTCCTGCACTTAATACAGGCAATGCATATTCATATTATTAACAGAGGTCCTGCAGTTCCAGAAGAAAGACTGCTGCAAAAATGTGAAATCAATAGTGCCGACAGGGTTGAACTCACCACAATGTGAGTTCCATAGAAACTGGCTTCTAGGACACCTGATTATTGGGAACCACAGCAAAACAGTTAAGTACAAACATATTGGATGAAGATGGCTGTCTTCTGGTAGAAGTCTACCAGACTACATGGTGCAACAACCCAGAAGACAGACATCTTCAGACTCATTACCATGAAAACCTCAAATCCTACAAACTTCCTGTATTCCTTAAGTTTAAATTTCACAGGATTCAAGGCAATATAAACTACAATTTGTAATAAACAAATCTGATATTTTCTTAATTGGTATAAACTGCATCCTGACCTGAAATAATACTACTTTATCATTATTTTAGATTATTCACAATGCATAACACAAAGCAAATATGATTCACGTTGCTACCCAAGATATGTAAAAAGTCACACAAGTATATAAAAAGATACTTACCAGCTGTGAGAAGCACATTCTGTGCTGCAGGATGCCAGAGAACAAGGCCTACACGTCTCTGGTGATATAACAGATCTACTACAGGCTCAGTCAAAGTTCTGTAATGATAGTAGTGTATATACATACATAATATATACATTCCATGGATCCAAAAGTTAGTCATATTGGCTGTAGGATGTGGAATAAGTAATAAAGTACAAAACATACAGATGAGTATGATTTAAAATATTAATTAAGATTCACGAAAATGTTTCAAACTAAATCCACTGCTATACAGCAGATTATGTAAACAATAACCCCTAAAAGGATTACAAGTCCTTTAAAATGTAGATATTCATACATTTTTATAGCTATGTACATAAATATACATGCTTATGGCAACTTTACTAATTATAAACAGCAGTTAGAAAATGAAGATACAGACACATCATACCACAAAAATTGAGTATACCTATTTCCAATGTTTCATGAAAATAAATGATTAAGTCATATTTTAACTCTGCAGTAAATGCTCATTAATAAAAAATTAAATTTTAAATAAAATTCAACATTAAAAACTGCCTCCTATATGACTTTCAAAGTACAATATATATCAATATATTTAACACAACTGTAAAGTGAAGAACTTTGAAACAATAATTCACTTACAGTTTAACTGTAAATAAATTGGACAAAATTTAAAAGGCCTGCAACAGATCAAGCAATACACTCTTTATGGCCAGCACAGGTTGGGAAAAGCTTCAGGCTATGAGTCTTTTTTATTTCTTTGAGGTTTTCAGTTTTAAATGTGCACAGTACAAATTTGACCCAAAATTTTCATTGTTTCTCATAAATAACTGTGGATCAGTATAATTTTTGAGCAGCCATTTTATGGAAAGGGACAAATGTGAATCTGCAGGGACTGAGTACTTTGAAAAGGCTACATAAATATAAAACAGATAATATGACTGACAAGCTATGATAAAAATCTGAATCAAACATGAACCACCTACATATGTTACCAGCTGACATGACACTGCAGTGCATTAATGACACATGCCTTGTATTCCAGTCAGCTGTCTTGCATGTCTGTTATGTATATCAGTAGTGGATAGGCAGGATGGGTAACAGTATGATAAAGGTCAAGTGTGAGTCAATGCTGAGATAACAAAAAGTGGAGAAAGTGTGTACATCACATGTAACAACTTAATCTAAAGTGCAGTTTAAAACACTCACAATGAAACTGCAATAAGGATTAGCAGTATGATTACAAGTTTGAAAATAAAATGAAAAGAAGAATTAAATTTTTACTAGTTACTGACTTTATATGTGGCTACAGAAAATCCATCTTGTACTGTCTATTTCAAACTGCAAATTATTACTTCAAAACAGGCCATGACCACTTAATCCCACAGCTATTCATACTTCCTATCCTCTATACTTACTCCAAGGCACAGAGTCATTCTTGAGAAGCTACCAGTCCCTCAGCTTGTCAATAATTTCCCACCTTTTATGAAACCTGAAGGCTCATTACTGTTTCCAAAATTCTACCACTAGTACCTATCCTGAGCCAGATGAATCAAGTCTATACCCTCCCACTCAATTGCCTTTAAGATACATTTTAATATTATCTTCCTGATTTTGCCTACGTCTTTTACTTCCATTCAAGCTTTCTGACATAATTTTGTAAACGTTTCTCACCTTTCTCATTCATGCTAAATGCCCTGCCCATTGCATTCTCCTTGGTTTGATCATCCTAATAATATTTGGTGAAGAGTATAAATTATGAAGTTCCTCATTATGCAGCTTCGTCCAGCTTCCTGTCACTTCATCCCTCTTAGGTCCAAATATTCTCCTCAGCAAACCTTTCCATTAGCTCAGATACGTGAGAGTATACTGCATACAGTATATACAAAGCACAATTGTAAATGAAGGCGACATACTCAATAACAGCTAACAGTCTTGCTCTATATCATCAGTCAGGCTACAGTGAAATAGTGCAAGAAATTGGTCATAAGTCTCAAGTATGACAGTACATTCTGTTATGATGACCAATTCTGGTCACAGTTATAACCAAGTAACTTCAAAATGCTCAGTACTAGCCATTTACACAACAACAGTTTTTAAAAAAAGGAAAAATTACAATAATGTATTTCTTACAGAATGTCCATGGAATGTGCATTAATTGTACACCAATCAGTAAAGTGGCTAATTACAGGCTGGATGACTGGCATCTGATTTAAAGAAGGGGTAATGTTCTCTCTTAAAATGTCCAGATCAGTTCTTGGACCCACCTAGCCTCCTATCCAAAGGTACCGCAAACTCTTTCACTGGTGGTAAAACTGTTAGAGCATGAAGCTGACCATTCACATCTACCTAGTGCAAGATCTTGAACATGTGAAGATTTACTTCCTCCTTTTTTACGAGTAATTTTTATTTGGTTTCCAACAACTTTGTTTTTAATTTATACATATCTGTTATACCCATCCAGAACATGGTTCGTAGGCCCAGTTTTAAATTATAATTCAATTCAAACATTTGAAACCTGGACACACAATCTTAAATTAAATGGTTTCACAACCCACAATTAATATGATAACGATGACCTTTCAAATAGTACATTATATTTCTTGCAAGAAGGGCATTTCATCATTCTATTCTAAGGAACACCAACAATCACAGATCATACCTGCTGATGCCACTGTCAGGAATCTGCCACACTTTGACAACACAATCCTCTGACCCACTAGCTATAACATTGTCATTATGTGGACACCAGGCTATATCCAGTACAGGTCCTTTGTGCCCACCTACTAGTGGGTGGTCTGCCGCAATTCGTCCTACCTAGACAGACAAAGTAATAATATACATTCCTACAATATTTGTTCATTCTATTGATGAAGTGTATAAAAGTTACTAAGAGCAAAGTATCAAATACTTGGGTGTGTATGTAGGTTTTGCATATATCATCTGATCCTAATACTGCAATGCTTAAATAATTGCAAGCAAGATACAATAAACAGCTGATTCCCAAAGGAAGGAAAGAAAAGTTAACAATAATTTTATGGTACTATTAGTGAACAGGCAATGACTTTTCAATAATGTAATATCCAAGAAATGACAAACTGATTTCTGTACTTCTTAACATATTCACTACTGGTATAATTTCAGTTGTTTCTGGTAGGATAGGTTCTCAAATAAATGTAAATGACCTCACAAAATTTACTTAACTGTTCTCATCATAATATTTGTTTCTTTTGTGTACAAACAAACCATGCACTTATATGACACTTTTATTTTGCATAAACTGCCAGCCAACATTACCTCATAAATTAAAACAATACTTTAATGTTTGTTAGTAAAATTCATGAATGTAATAAAACAGCAAATCTAAACACATTTCTGTAACAACAGCAATGGTTACTGTATTTATTATGATTTTACTGCGTAAGCTACTGCAATCTATCATAGCCTTCAGCACTTCAAGAATTTAATATACAAGCTGTACTACCACTAAGCCAGAGATCACAGCTTCAAAGTAATTCCACAGTTTTAAAAATAACCCTACTACTGTGGTACTTTCTGTGAGAAAGCAGCAGTAAGGAGAAGGAGAGGCAATTCATTCAGATAGTCAGTATGCAGATATTTTGAGGACAAGTCTAAAAATAGCTCAGGCAAGCCTTGAGGTGATGGATCTAACAAACTAACAAGAAAACTTCCTGACTACTCTTGGAAACTATCACACATACACACTTAGGGTTTGTGTGTATTTAAAAACTGGGAACCAAAGTTAATTATAAAAACACATTATATTTACTAAACAGAAAGAGAACGTAACAACATTTGATTTACTGTTTTAAAGCTAAATTCTGACACCTGTCAAGTACTGGAGCAGTTTATTTCATCAACATTATAACTAAAGCTTAAAAATTTGATATTGCCACCTAAAATTGTCTACATGAGGCTTATAATGTGAGAAGAAAATATCTATGTACTGCATCCACTGAAATTCAACAAAATCAGTACATAATGAAAAATGGTGTAGTTTAATACAGCATAAAGTTTGACAAATGAAAAATAATTAATTCCAACATTATGTGTCCTTTCTTTGGGAGTCAGTACCAAAAGTACTAGCAACTAATGTAAAACACACGCCTGGAGCAAATAATTATCACGAAGGCAGGAAATATCTTATCTCAATGACCAATACTGTAACAGTACAGGAAGCTGTCTGGCTATTCTCAGGGGAAATGTAGTTGCCTACATCCGCTCCATTACAAGTACTTCCTTCACGCAAAATAGTAGATATGAAAATTCATGTCCTACCTTATTCAAAGGCAGTACAATAAATGCACCACCACCTGCAGACTCAACAATGATGGCAAGGAACTTGGGATTCACTGCACAAAATGTTGAATCCCACGACGACTTTGAAACCCTTATATTGTCATAACATTGTTCACGCTTCAATGCAGAACCATATACATGTCTGAACTTGCTACTTCGAACCACTCTGAATGACATCTTAAAGAAACAAATCAGTAACTTATTACATACAAATACAAGATGTGAAACTAAAAATATTTTTTCGTCAACCCAACCCTAACCTAACCTAAGGTCAAGAATAAGAAAAGATGAGGTTAGGCCACTACATATTCTATTGTAGCATTATGTATTAAAAGTACAATATCATGGACAAATTGAGAGCTGTGCCAATTAAAACTTACTTTTAACCCAGTCTGCACACAATTCCTTAACTATGTTACAGAGTTCTTAACTAACATTTACAAATATTTTATACACCCAGCACAACCCTAGAAACTAATGCAAGTATCGGTTCTATTGAATTCCTGGAAAGTGGCATTACCTTTGAACGGAAATAGCGTCACAACGCCATATTAGGCAATGTACCTTGAAATTTTTATATCAAAAATTTTATAAAAGATTAAAGACATAAGAACTACAGGCAAGATATACACAGCTTTTTGTTTTTCATAACAAACAAAATGTCTAAATAGAATGGAAAATGTAATAAGCCTTGAAGTTTCCAATATTTTCGTTCAATTAGGACACCACCTCTTACGTGTTTCTACATCTCTCGGTGTGTAGAACTCTATTAATAGGTCACGCCCACAGAGGGCAACAAATGTTGCCATTATTCTGCTATCTAGTGGCAGAAAGGAGAAGTTGATATACATTATATTCGAACTGGTTAGCTATCAAATGCACACAAATAAATCATTTATTTCCAGTTTGAACTATTCGTATGCAACAAAGCTTCACACAGCACATTGTCCAATACTTACCGATTCACTTTCAACAACTCTTGAGCTTAAACTGAACTCTATATCTGAGTAGCTGAATATGATGGGTTAAAATGAGAATTACAAGGAAGAAAATATTTTAAATAGAAATCAATAATGCTATACAAAGCAGTGCAAATAGCACTTCATAATACTACAAATTTCTCATTAAAAATTTACATTTGTTCTTATAGTATGATTTACACATCAACCTTCTTTCCATATCCTTTGACACCGTTATCTCAAACCACATTGGCCATAAGTTGAGATGAAAGCTTTCAATTATCCCTTTGCATTTTTCTCCTGTTCCTCTTAGGCATAGTTTTTTTTTTAAAAATTAAGACTGGCTCAGTCCTCAGACTGAAAGTTATTTCTGAGGCACTGAAAATTAAGTGATTAATGGCCATGAAATTTTAAATCATAATTATTTTCAGAAGTACAAAAAGGGTTGATACTTATAACACAAAATATATCTACTAACTAGTCAATGGCTTAGAAAGAGTCAAGGTTCTCACAACTTGCAAAATTTGTAACTATGTTCTTCAATTACTTTATGTATCTGGTTGTCTCATTCCTAATTTCTCTTATAAACATTTTTGTATCCAACATTTTCAATCTGTTACTTTTCCATTTCATATATAGTTGTAATTTGCTGATAAAATGCATAATTTCTTACAAAAGTAACATTTTTCCCATGTGTATGCTTTAGTATATATATATATATATATATTAATGAAGATAAGTATGTTCACAGTCAACAAACACTCTGCATTTATTACTTTACTATTTTTATGTGTACATTCTCATACAATATATGAACAGTACAGTGTGTAGTTATGTACAACATACCTTATGTAATTTGGTGATAATACATTTAGAGAGTAGTAAAAATTTTGTTAAATATATATTTTTTTCTTTTCAGGATTCTGTCATACTGCATGACAGATATGGCTGACTACAGAAGAGTGGCAGTGGTGGTAGAGACAATGATGGGAGATTTAGAGATGAAAGAGAAGTGAGCTGGACCCAATTCCACCACCTGCACCACCATCAACTACTGATGTTAGTTATATTGAGCAAAACAGTGTTAAAGCAGTTATGATCTCAGGCCACAATTACTGGGGTCTTGCTAGATAAATGTTAAAATGTAAATGTGACTAATTGTTTGTTGAAAATGTAAGTTGTACAATGTATTATTTCTCTTTGTTTTCTCACACAACTATTTATATATGGAAGTGGCTTCCCAAATAGAAACAGGCATGGATTCTTATAATGCTTGTATACAGTGTTATTCAAGGACTTAAAAAAGTAATACCCCATCTGTTCTAGAATATTCTCACCATAACAGACTTTCTTTCCCCACCTCTGACAAGGACAGTATGGTGTATAAACAACAGTAAATGAGTATATTAAAATTAAAAAAGGAAAAATCATAAACAAATGTTAAGCAAACAGAAGCCACTGATGCACTGTATCATGTCATCATTTAACATTAGAACAAAACTTAACATATTTTTGTCATGCTCTATATTTTGCTATGAGGCCATCAATAAGTAAATAAAATACTGTGGTGCCAAAAGAAAAACCAATACCACAAAACTAATATCAATTTGACAGTCAAAATACTTGGTTGGAAAAGCTACAAAAACAAACTGTTTGGATATTTAAATAAGAAATAGCACACAAGATGTGGTTGTTGAGTTCATTATTAATACTAAAGATTTGTAACTGTTAATCATAATAAATTCCTTAAATTTAATTCATATTATAAACAAAAGATGATGGAACAAGAATGATGTTCACTGTGTGTTTGATTTTTTTTACAAATAACTGTCATAGTCTCTGTCATCACCAAGTTCTTATAAACAGAGTAAGACTTCAATAAATAAATTAAGAGAGGCACGAAAACTCAACATAAGATATATACACACCCCACCCCAAAATGTATTCAGATAATTATACTGCATTCAAATTAATTTGTGTAAGATATAAAAATAGATACATTTTATGAACTAACATTATATCAGGTTGATGTAATTTCCAGTGTTCTACGAGAAATTCCAGTGTCGATCATTCATCGTAATCATCAATGTCTGCTATTGGAGTACACTGAAAATAACATTATTACTCTTTATACTCTGACCACCAGGGTACTGTGAATTATATAACAAACCAAGTTATTGAAACAAAGAAAATTCTTATTTTAACAAACAAAATTATTGCTGAGCTTGTACTCTTCATAAAATATTGTTAGGATAATTAGATCACAGAGGATGAGATGAGAAGGGAATGTAGAATTATACAAAAAGTATTAGCTGGAATTATGTACATGCCCTGGCTGGTCTCTAAGTCTGAGACATCAAGACATTCTGAATCAGATTTAATATTTGTTTTACAATAAATATTCAGAGTTATACGATGCTTTATTTTTGACTATCCTATATATAATTTAAACAGCACATAACTAATGCCAAAAACTTATAGCACATACTTACACAATATTCAATAAAACATGTATGATTGTCTGCAGGAATCATGTATTGGAAACAAAGGAGGCCCCTGTCATCAGTTCGGATTGACACTTTCTGAGATACTGCAAGGGATTTAGCAGATGGTTTAACATGAGACAACCTGTACCTGCACAAACATAAAATTCACATTCATAATATCAATCCATAAATGGTAGCTTAAAAAAACAGACAGAAAAAAATACTGGTAGACAGATAAGCTGCAACTTGTCTGCACATGCTGAGACATTAATGCACTCTACTGACAGCAGAATTGTTCAGTTGCTATAAGACTAATGACACAGTCCATTACAAAAAAGAAAACAGAAAATACGGATGTGAGGCTATAGATAGATAGCAGTGGGCCAACAATGAATGAAAACAATGCAGATGCTTCAGGCACATGGTAGGCAAATGGTTGTCACAGAGGACACTTACAGCATATCTTAAAATAATGACATGGTATAAAAGAATAGTTAATTAATTAATTCACTACCAATTACAACCTAACTTCCTCAATCACCATGCTGGGAATTTCCTTATTATAAAAAAGGAACTATAAAGTAAGTCAGCAAACAGTCCCAAAGCCACATACCTGGAGGTTGCAAGTGTCGTACACTGGAATGTCTCAATCATGCCACTATTCTTAGGAATATCAATCTGAAATCAATGGAACACTGCTATAAATATTCTGATATCTGAAAACCTATATCATAAAACAGAGGAAGCATAATTTTGGTCATAAAATGCCTTCTATTATTTCTTCTATGCTTTATTTTCCATTTCATGAGTTCATTATGTAACTGTAAACAATATTAGATATCTGATCACCTTGGTATCTCCAGCAGTTCCGGCAGTAGTGATTCGAAAGTAAGGTGGATCAGGTGAAAGTAAGATTTCTATTAGATCACTGGAAGAGTCTAGCTCTGCAAACACTTCTTTAAGACATTCAGATCGAAGAATAATTTTGTTAAGAACATTGGCTGCAGAGAAGTTAAAATCAAGTATCTCTTCTGATTCTGATGTCTTAATACTGCAGTCTGTAATGACTCCACCTTCTTCTAATCTGTAACATTTGTTCTTGTATATAGTTTTATGTATTACACTATGGGTCTGAACCTTTTCAACACCTGAGGCTACATTTGCCATTTACTGATTCGTGCATTGCAATGTTATAATCAGAACAATTTAAGGAAATGCCATGACAGTTTATTAACATGCTACTAAATTTGGCTTTCTTTTAAACAGGTTCACAGCTTACTCTATAACCCATGCAGACCACACGAAACACATTGGTAGGCTGTATGCAGATTATAGGTTAAGCACTCATGACACAAATCATTAAATCATAAAACAAATTTCTTTCCACGGCTACATATAACTTCCTGACTATGCTTTTGACACCTTTTCTTTCACAGAATTTACAAAAGGACTAAAGGTTTCATAGCCCAAAGGCAGCAGGGCATACCAATGTGTTTGCATAATTGGAGATACTTGGTCTAACAACATAAATAGTTCAATAATGTCATAAAGGCATAATTGCTGGATGCTACTCTGCACAGAGATAGTTTTGTTCACAATCAGACTGATAACTCACTCTGCTTTCTGATGTACTTACAACATTCTAAGGGGGAAGCCATATCCTTGGTAACACACCTTAAGTGCTGTAGCTGATCCTCCAAATATGTTGAGGCATTCTACTAGAATGGAAATATTTACTTTGAATGTCACCTGCACATCATTCAATTTGTAATGCTGTAGATAAAGCAGAATTCTATTTCAGACATATGCATCACATCTAGATGAATGCTGAAAACAAAACACACTACTGTAGCTAGTGAATTAACCAGATTAACTGACAAGAAGACCTGAAGTGTTAATGCCACTAATATGTTGTGTCAGTTTAATTTATTTCATATTTGGTGTTGAGTCTAATATTCATAAGTTAAATTAATTTTTTGAATAGTACGACCTCAATATGGATGTTAGCTAGAGGTCAGTCTAGTGTTATTTGATCATAAAACTGTCTCTATTCGGACTCTATATGAACCAAAGCAAATAATCAATTAATGCGTTAAATATCAAGGTTTGGCTAACATCTTTGTTTGGAAGATCAAGCAGTCCCTCCTCCACTCAAGCCTATATTACATTGCCTCTTCTAATTGAACCTGTACAAGCACAGCATTCACCTAAGCCAAAACAAGCCTGTAATGGGTTGGCTGTTGCTGGGTATTAATCAATGCAACAATTGAAGATTAAATAAAGCAACAGGAAATATAAGGGAAATAAACCTGTAAGACTGGGCAGCAGCTGTCAGGACTTCATCAGCTTAAGTATCATGTTATGTCATGCTAAAAAAAACTGGCAGCATATCAATAATGGTAGCAAATGTTAAACTTCATAACAAGTTTGGCAATGTACACAATGCATAACAATTCTGGAATGTCTACAGCAACATTAGTCATCTGGGATATATGTCCTTTGAGTGGATGGAATGTCTGGTAGTGTTATGATGAAAGATATGCCACGTCGTTGCACAGCTGAGTTATGATTCTCTACCCAATCAATTCAATATACAGAAAGACATGCATCTTCAAGTAAAGTGTGCATTATTTCAGTTAAATGTTAACCAAAATTGATCTCTAAAGAAATTTTTGAAGCACTCCCATATTCAAATTACATTAATGGCTGTTCAGCAGTTCTGACATTACATGCCAAGAGCCAGGCAAGTATGGGCAGACACACATGGTAAAGCTAACAGGTGCATTTTTGCAGCCTTTACTTGCCAGAAAAAAGGAGAAAAAACTTCTTTCTGGGTGAGAGCACCATTTAGATGTAAGTTATATTAATGTATCAGGGATCTTGCTGTGCCACACACCTAAACACTAGTTCAACATACCTGAAACATTTCTCTTTGAATAAATGAACTGGCTTGCACACATTTTGAATCTTCTACCGTTACTTTCAGGCCCTTGTTGGTCGCAAAACAGGTAGCATTCTGAAAGAGGATACATCATATTTTTTAGGATCTGATGATTGTGGCAGTAAACGCCAACGAAACGTCGGTTAATTTCTACGATACTACAAGGTGTAACATCCCAAGAGACATTTTCATAAACACAGGTTGTGTATCAGTAATGAACTGCAAACGCTTAATAGCACTGCTTTCATACATCTTTAAAATTCACAGCTTTTAGAAGAGTTAAAATATGTTTGACACTGTCAATATATGCTTCGAAAAGGAAATCTTCTACGTCATCATGCTGCGATAAAACAGACATAACGCACACACCACATGCAACTGCTGAAACAGCAGCTTGGAATAGTAACTAGCCTGCGGTTTATGCTATGTGCTTGTTTCACAAAGTACTATACTGTGCTGTCATCTATCAGGAAAAAAGTTGCATACAACGTTAGCTCAGTAGGTAATGACGACCAAAATTTTCAATCGTATATACTATATTTCATGCCCTTTGTCCTCTTTTCACATTTAGTTTAATGTTAGGAGTACCTATTAATATGAAAATATAAACTCACGCTTTTGTCTTCTGGGTTGTTGCGCTGTGTAGATGTTTACCAACATTTCATGCCTCCGTCATCAGGGTGATGAATTCAGACTACACAGCACAACAACCCACAAAACAGAAATCTTCATACTCACCGCTGTAAAAACCTCAAATCATACAAATATAATCTTGTTGCACTACTTTTTTCGATCTGACAAGTCCATCTTCATATGCATTTTTAATACAAACATCATGTAACTCTATGCAACATACTATCTTAGCAACCTACTCTATGGATTCAAGGTGTTATTATATAATTATCATATTGTGATAGAATCTGGTGTGATAGTTAAATTGGTAGTCTGATTTTGGAAGCAGTTTGACAGCATGTTGTTTTTATTTTTGTGCTCAAGCAGCATCACTTTTGCACACTATTTTGAAATGTCCATTTTTTGTTGGACTACATATTTAAACTGATAAGTCAACATCAGTTCTATGAAATATGGTGTAAAGTTACTGCACATTTTTTCATTATGATTTTCTACCTACAATTTTTATACACACACACACAAACTTTCCCAGGAGCTTTTCATTGATGGTCGGTTCCATGCCAGTGGTAAATTTTAGTTATTCCATTTTTTTTGCAGTTGTATGTATCTGTAAACACAAATTATGTTTGTGAAGGGGAAGGGAAATAAAGAGAGGGTGATAGTAAAGTGCTAGTATTTGGATAATTTTGATAAATTTTGAAGACTGGGTTATTATGGTCTGCAATAAATTCATTAATTTGTATATGGTCTTCAATGGTTGGAAAATTATGTAAGAGCATCTACATTTTGGCTTTTTTATGAATTCCACATTAATGTGTCATATGAATGAAAAAAGCAACAACAAAAAGAGAGAGAGAGAAAAACTTGAACTAATAAATATAAACACACAAGCGATCGCAAAAGGTTTTTCCTGAATTTGTTAATGTGTGACTCTGCAAAGCAATACTAATATAAAAACTAAGCTCCTCTTGAGTTTTGAGCATATTCAATCAAAACCGATCCAATTCCAGTTATAGACAACAGATACTACATTTAATTTCTGGAATACTGCCATAATTACACAACCTACATATAAAACACGAAAAACAAAGAATAAAGGGGGGGGGGTGAGTTTTATCAGTATGTATGGTCCTTTTCTCCTGAAGACAATGTCATTACTTGTTATTAATACATCAGTATATTACTTAATATGTTGCATAAGAGATTATAATGTTTATTAAAATTATTAAAAGGCTGATAAAACACAGTACATATTAAGGAGAAACATATAATTCAAAGTGAAGAGATTAATTTTCACTGCCAATTAACTGATAAACCATTTTTATGTTATAAATTCTTCATAAACAAACCAAGTAACCTATGGCAATATGGTATTATTTTATTAGTAAGCTGGAAGAGCCTACATTCTCAAGTCCAGTTGCATTCTGTATGTTTTATAAACCCACAATAACAATCCTTTTATTATTTTACATGCTCGTCATATTTAAATCTTTAAAAAAATCTATGATGTATTCAAGAGGTCACTTTCAGAACAACAAAAGACTATAAATTTCTGTAACAGTTTATTAAGGTTTATCAGATATGATATTACCTGTACTTTTTTATATACTTTCCTTACTTGGTACCTAAAGAATGTAATTCATTTTTTCAGTAAGTTTCATTATTAATGAGTATTTGAGATGTCACAATGCCATATAATGAATACAATTAATACATGAGGGTCCAGGTAGCATATATACATATCCCTGATTTTAGCTATAATATATATTGTCTAAGTCCTATTTCATAAAGTCAGAACAAAGTTACACACTCTAACAAGAGCAACATCATCCATAAACATGCAGCAAGCAGAAGACTTTACATTCTTTTATTTTCCACCAAAGATCTGCTGGAAAGTTGTTCCATTATAGCCCACATTGGCAGCATCCTCATCAATAAATGTAATGTACAATCTGGAACAAAGAATTGGGTTTATTTCTACTCTGCCCCTGCTTGTTAGAACAATTAAAGTGTTAGAAGTTTACAACAGCGAAACATACAGGTGCATGGTTGTCACATTAACCCTCCTAAGCTGAAGCTCATCTAAACAATATTTAAATATTTAATTCCTAGCTTTAAATAGAACACATGTCCCTGTTGGAAATAGCAATAAGTTATTATGGTTTACAGAAATAATTGCTATTTACTCTGAGAATCATACAAAATCCATAAATACACTCTGTGGGTAAAATGCAACTACAGATTGTTAAATCAGAAAGTACATATAGCTAACAGTGGGATTCAATGGATTGAATAAGAAATATGGGACCACACTATGACTGCAGTGATGTAGTGAAAGGATCCTTCTGATGCTATATAATCTGAGCTATTGAAAGCTTCATTAAACAAACCATAAATAAAACCAGAGTTCACTTTGTAAACATGTCATACTTACATGTGATTTTTAAAAAAATATGTTTGTATTAATTAGCTATATCAATAACACATTCAGAATGTAGTCAGAAACTTCCAATGTTACAATTTCTACCACTGAACATTGTGGTTACCAGTCCTATACTATATGTAGGAGGTATTTGATTCAGACCCAGAAACCAGTTATCATGCTAATGTTTTTGTGGTTTTGCCCAGTCCCTCCACACAAATGCAGGGATAGAACCTAAAGTTAGGCCACAACCACTTCCTTCCCAAATCATTAATAATGCTATCATTCAATACTACATAGTCTTAGCAACTGACAGCATTGTTAAGAAACCACAACTAAATAAAGAAACAGACTGATTGATTAAGTAACTTCTATCCATTCATATGTCCACAGATTAATACTTTTTATGTGGAGCTAGGGTTTAGCTTTTGTGCTGGTAGTTCATATCACAGTCATTAGGTAGACCTCACAAAATAGCACTGACAGATGCTATGACCAACATTTACAAAAATTAATCAAAGTTTCAATATTTGTAAGGGCATTAAAATAGTTGCAAACCCTGTACCTTTCATGAAACTCAAAGGTTCATTAAGATGCTCACAAGAGCCCACCACAAGTTCCTAACCTGGGCATCCAGTCCATAAGCTCCCACCCTCTTTCGCTAAGATTAATTTTAATATTGTTCTCACATCTATGCATAGGTCTTCAAAGTGATCTCTTTCCTTCATGCTTTCCAATAAAATTCTGAATGCATCTCATCTTCCTTGCATTACAAACATGTATTCAACTGCATAAATTCTAACACATTAAATTGTTAATTCATGCTTGCATTACACAACCACTTTATGGCTGTGCTGTTTCTGGTCTCATCATTTATGAAACACCTAAAACAAAAGGTTAAATTCTAATTCTCCTCCACATAGTTGCTTGGGGGGGGGGGAGAAGAAGAAGAAGAAAAAACTAAGAAAATGCAAGGAAATGGAAAAAATAAAACAAACCATTAGTTTGCACAAATTATATACACCATCTGCATCTTTCTTTTTTAAACAAAGGGTTAACAATTCTGTCTTAAATGAAAGCTCTTTAGACATAAAAAAATCCAACATTAATCAAAACTAGACTCAATTTCTTTAAGAATGGCATTATATAATATAGAAAATACAGTACTTCAGAAATATTAAGCTTGCAAAAATGGGTTATACCATTTGGAAATCAAAATTTCAGTTATCTAATGACAAGAATTTAAGTCATGTAACACTATTTAATACTGTGTTGCTGTTATTAATCAATGGCATATGCATGATTAAGATCTGTACTATCCAGAAACATAACCCCACAACATTTCTGGAAGTATGACCAAAATCTCTTACTCATTTTATTTAAAAAAAAATAGTTACATAAATGGAATGCTCTCTACCTGTTACGAGGAATTCCAAGATTCTTTTCAATGTGGTCATAAAGAACTGCTGCATGCTTTTTATTCTCCTCAACACCCAATTTCCCAATGGACATCAGTGTTGCTGTTCCACATGGATCAGTACTTCCACCCCACACCAATAGCAAATCTGGTATAACAGTAGCAACACAGTACTGAAACAAGGAAAACAGAAAGGTAACATATTTTATGTCATAATATTTTAAAACAATGCTACACACAAAAGTCTCTCTTTGTTCGCATACATTTTCTTCTTGGGCAACACATTTTATACTGTTTATTCAATACCATTTCTCTGTATTTTATAATGACCTTTATTGGAAGACAGAATTACTATTATTAGACAATCTCATATGTAGAATGAAAGAACCAAAGATAAGAAACTTCAAGAGCCACTCTTGTAATAATTTCATTAGTGTTTCACTTATCCAATAATAAGTTGCAATTATTTTCCATTAATTCTCCATCCATAAAGAAAACCTAGCATAAGCTACAAATGAAAGATTATGCATCATAATATATCTCTGTGCCTAATTTTGGTTAATACACATTTAAACTACATGTAAATGTCAACAGTAAACAGAAAATTTCTTTCCATTTGACATGTATATAACAGACCATACACAATTTAGTCTACAAGAATTTAAAGTTTCTCATGAGTAGCTAAATAGCTTGTCAAGTTTTAAACAGAAAAGAAAAAACTAATCTCTCACATTTGAGTACATGATTCACCCATGTCATCCTTGATTTGATCATCCTGTTTGGTAAAAATCAGAATATATGAAACACCTGTTAACCTTTTACCAGCCCACACTGGGTCACTTCAACTCTTAGGACCCTCAAAATACCTACTTTTCACATTTCTGTTCTATGTCATATAATTCTAAATCAAATTTAACCATTTAAAGCCATATGGTGCAGTGTTGTTTTCTTTGTGATACGAACTTAATTCTTAAATACTACTTGGGGTTCAGCGTTAAAACACCAATTTCATTTTCGTCTTACATGTATCACTTACACTTTCCGGCTTTCCAAGTGTTTTGGCAATCAAGGCAGTAGTCTGCTTCAGGAAGTCTACAGTGATTTTACTTTTTGGAATGTTCGTTTCCAGGCGGAAGTTAGGCATTCTGAAAATTAAATGAAAATATCGACGTACACACAAACTGAAAATCAGTTAACAAATGCAATTCATGTTATTCAACCCACTGATTACCGACATGTTGTCAAGATGACATCTACAAACACGCCGAGCGACTCAAAGCAATTGGTTGGCAACGTAGTGGCAAGCATACTGTCCTTCGATCTCTGAACCAAGCACACGATAACTATGATTTACAATCATCCTTGACTTGAAATATACCAATAAATGGGTAATGTGCACAATGTTCATGAATCTCAGTCCGTACTGTAGGAAATTTAGAATTTATTTACATTTCATAGATCCCTCATAGGCCCAAGCCAAGAATGTGGAACATGTCATACCTCATACAATACTTGTTTCTAAAACAAATATAAATTTCATAGTTATGACAGTTTTTTTACAATCAAGTACAGTATTACCGCAAGAATAAAACAAGCATAACCACTATTACTCACATATATGCAATGGAGGACCTACTTCCACTTGAGGGATATTTCATTTCATCCGGAGAGTATATTTACAAATGGTTCTACTGGGTAGATTCTCTTTTGATTGGTTGGTCTAGATAAGCGAAAGTTATTGGCTGGTTTGAATATAACTGACGCGTGTATTTACCGGCCAGTGCTTTGAAGGTTTGAACTGAGAGGAAGCAACATTTTAATACAGGAGGTAAGAAATAGGCGGAGGTTTAAACGTACAATTTATGTATGACGTACTGAATAATAGTGTGCATAGACTTATCTTTAATATTAGTGGATATTTGTCTAAACAAGTGAGTTTATAAGGTAAACCAATCGAAAAAGTTCATTTCTTCTTTTGTAGTGCAGGTAACCCACATCCAATTTCGAGCTTTGCAATGGAAGACTTCCTGAAAATAGAGAAAATAGGCGAAGGTAAGTAGGAATCAGAATCCAAGTTTATGGAAATGTAAAACTTTTTCTTTGCAGTTGTGGTTAACTGCATGTAGGTTACATGCTTGTGAGGATTGCCACCAATCCTGTTATTAAAAGACTGCTATACAATTGATTCCATCTTACAACCCAGTTCTCTGAGACAATTTTAATATAGTTCAATCTATAATTGAGTTTCCCAAGTAGTCTCTTCCCTTGAGGTTTTCTGACAAAGATTTTAAGCATTTTATTGAACAAAGTATGTTGCCCATTTTCTCCTTTATTGTTTACTTACTATCAATGCTATGTAGAGATTATAAATTAGGAAGCTTTGTGTGTAATTTTCTGAAATCCTTTATTTCATCTCTATCTTCCCCCCAGAGTTGGGACCAATTTTCATGCCAAATATGCTATCTACAAGCAGTGAGTTGTGCATCTGACTATTCAGTTGAAAATTTGTTGCATAAATGGGGAAATGGACAGGTCATTACAGTGCTCTGCCTACATTTATTTGTGTTATTTGAAACTGTGATGATTTACTGAAAACACATTAATAGTTTGTTATTATTTTTATTCATACAGTGTTCTAATATTGGAGCAGGTTCATGGTCCTGAATATTAGGCAAGATGTAATATGCACCAAACCTTGGATGGTTTTCACTACACAGCATCATAAATTGTTTCAGAACTTGAGTAATAATTTTATTTTCTACTCTTCATTTTTGTGTTCATATATTTTTCCTTGAAACAAAATACATATCTTACAGGGACATATGGCGTTGTTTATAAAGGAAGGAATAAGAAGACAGGTCAGATTGTTGCAATGAAGAAAATCAGACTTGAAAATGAAGATGAAGGCATTCCATCAACAGCTATCAGAGAAATATCACTTCTCAAAGAATTACAGCATCCTAATATTGTCAGGCACGTATGCAAAAAATCACCGAAGTTTAATCAACAAAATAGGTTCATGTTATTTTTTTCTCAATTTGAATAAGATTGTGAGTGAATTTTGTCAGATAGATAGGAAGAAAAAGTTCATTTCTTCTTTTGTAGTGCAGGTAACCCACATCCAATTTCGAGCTTTGCAATGGAAGACTTCCTGAAAATAGAGAAAATAGGCGAAGGTAAGTAGGAATCAGAATCCAAGTTTATGGAAATGTAAAACTTTTTCTTTGCAGTTGTGGTTAACTGCATGTAGGTTACATGCTTGTGAGGATTGCCACCAATCCTGTTATTAAAAGACTGCTATACAATTGATTCCATCTTACAACCCAGTTCTCTGAGACAATTTTAATATAGTTCAATCTATAATTGAGTTTCCCAAGTAGTCTCTTCCCTTGAGGTTTTCTGACAAAGATTTTAAGCATTTTATTGAACAAAGTATGTTGCCCATTTTCTCCTTTATTGTTTACTTACTATCAATGCTATGTAGAGATTATAAATTAGGAAGCTTTGTGTGTAATTTTCTGAAATCCTTTATTTCATCTCTATCTTCCCCCCAGAGTTGGGACCAATTTTCATGCCAAATATGCTATCTACAAGCAGTGAGTTGTGCATCTGACTATTCAGTTGAAAATTTGTTGCATAAATGGGGAAATGGACAGGTCATTACAGTGCTCTGCCTACATTTATTTGTGTTATTTGAAACTGTGATGATTTACTGAAAACACATTAATAGTTTGTTATTATTTTTATTCATACAGTGTTCTAATATTGGAGCAGGTTCATGGTCCTGAATATTAGGCAAGATGTAATATGCACCAAACCTTGGATGGTTTTCACTACACAGCATCATAAATTGTTTCAGAACTTGAGTAATAATTTTATTTTCTACTCTTCATTTTTGTGTTCATATATTTTTCCTTGAAACAAAATACATATCTTACAGGGACATATGGCGTTGTTTATAAAGGAAGGAATAAGAAGACAGGTCAGATTGTTGCAATGAAGAAAATCAGACTTGAAAATGAAGATGAAGGCATTCCATCAACAGCTATCAGAGAAATATCACTTCTCAAAGAATTACAGCATCCTAATATTGTCAGGCACGTATGCAAAAAATCACCGAAGTTTAATCAACAAAATAGGTTCATGTTATTTTTTTCTCAATTTGAATAAGATTGTGAGTGAATTTTGTCAGATAGATAGGAACAGGAGGAGGCTAGGGCTCGATTTTGGGCTGTTATGCCATAGTAGTAGTAGATAGGAACAGATTTGGTGTATGTTAAACCAGATGTGTGCGTGTAATTCTTTTGAGTTGAATGAAACTAAGGCAATATGTATCAGAATTGTGTTCAACCCCTCTTGAATTTGTGTATGGTTAATGTAGACAATCAAGATAAACTGAATATTAGAGATTCTGGACCCACCTTTCCAGTAGGTACAGGGGTTCTTTCCTCATATGTGAAGTGGCCACTGCATGAAGCTAATGACTTGCCTCAATCTAGTGTTTAGATTAAGAATGTATGGACTTATACCTACATTCTCCCATATATCTACATGGCACTGTGCATAGATAAGTACTGGGGAAAGCTCCTGGGCACTGCAACTATACAGCAGGCATGACATTTAAAATGTGTGTAGTCTTCTACTTATTCTGAAATGTCAGCACATTCATATAATATATGCCTGCTTATGTTCGCATTTTGAAATTTTGATGTAATTAAATGTTGTTTTAGAACCTCATATGGTGAAAGTCCTTTAGCTTCACTTAATTTCAGAAGCAGTTGCTAAGCTGTGTATATATTATAATTCTTAGGCAATTTTAGTTCTAAAATTTGTCTTTGCAGTCTTGAAGACGTACTGATGGAAGAATCTCGGTTGTATTTAATCTTTGAATTTCTGTCAATGGATCTGAAGAAATATTTGGATTCTCTTGGACCTAATAAGATAATGGATTCAAATCTTGTTAGGTCATACTTATACCAGGTAAAACTAAAGAAATATTAAAAACTATTTTGACATGCGGTTCCTTTTCGGATAGTGAAAACAGTGAATCCAGTGTGTACAAAAAATAAATGAAGAAACTGAAATATGAACTATTTGCTTGTTTATAAATTACTAAAGTAGTAATTATAATACTGTTTAGTAGACCTGTGGGTTCACAATAGTCCTGCGTTTAGATATACAATGGCAGATTTAATTATGAATTGTTTAAAAATGAAATGCTGGAGCATTGTCTCAACTTCATGGGGCACAATTTATTTTGAGCAGAGTTTGTGAAGGCCTACATGGACATTTACCTGGGCTGTGGGTTGAAGATGGGGTTCAAAACCTTGGTCACCCCAATCTTCTCAAGACATCATTATGGACTTATCTGTGAGACTGTATAAGATGGTATCAAGTGTGAGAATTTGACAAATCATTTGGAGGAAAGAGTCACTGTCTTGTTCTCATTTAGGAATAGTAAGAATTGGAATTTCAGTGAGACATGCTGAGAGACAGTGCCTTACGATGAACTTCAGTGGTACAGAAAGTATATGCTGGTTATTTTATTGACTTGCTGTGTTTATTTCAGATCACACAAGCTATTCTATTTTGCCACCAAAGGCGAGTGCTACACAGAGATCTAAAACCTCAAAACCTTTTGATAGACAAGAATGGAGTCATCAAAGTAGCTGATTTTGGTCTTGGCCGAGCATTTGGCATACCAGTGAGAGTGTACACACATGAGGTTTGTAAGACAGAAATATGTATACCATGTAGCAGATATGCTGCAAGTATTTGTTACAGAATAATTTCTGATCATTGTGAACTCTCGTTACAGTGGACTTATACTGTGTGTGGAAAAGTTATACTGGTTAACACCACTTTGCAGACTGTTGTAAACACCCACGAAAGACACTACATGCACACAGGTCTTCCACAAAGATGCCTGCTGAATGAAGTAGCACTTGCTGTATGTCAAGAAGTGTATCTCAAATATAGAAATTTTCCTTTCATGTAATGTTTTCCATCTATATTCATTGCCATCTGATGCTGTATACATTTACCTTGTAACTGTTTGTTATTTAAGGATGCTTTTTCAACTTGGGTTGTATATCATTCAGACAGTTAACTGTCCTCAGTAAGTACACACTGTTTTGACAGGTGGTGACTCTCTGGTACCGAGCACCAGAAGTTCTACTAGGATCCTCACGATACTCATGTCCGATTGACATGTGGTCCATTGGGTGCATCTTTGCTGAAATGGCATCAAAGAAACCACTCTTCCAAGGTGATTCAGAAATAGACCAGTTGTTTAGAATATTCAGGTAAGAGCATTTCCTGTTTATACTTTCAATGACTTCATTCCTATGATATGAATGAATACATTTTTAAGTTTACAGCTCTCCACTATGACCAAGTGTTGCTTTTACCCCCCAAAAAGCCTCTCTGAGCTTTGGTGATCTCTTCAGATTTCCAGACTAACATTTTGTATGCATTTCTCATCTCTCCCATGGAAACTGCATTCCTTCCCATATCATCATGTAATTTTTTTCCAGCCTATTTGTCTGAGCACCATGTTCTTTCACGCCCTCAGTGTTTCTTCCCTCTGATTGAAAAACCAAGTTTCACACATACAAAAGAACAGGTTAACAGACAAGAAGTGTGTTATAGGATGATACCAAAATGGCTTCTTAGCATTAACGCTTACAATTTGTTGACTTACTGTGAAATGTGGAAATATAAAAATAGTTCACTCTTTTCCAGAGTCTTGAAGACCCCAACTGAAGAAATATGGCCTGGTGTGTCTCAGCTTCCAGATTACAAGACAACATTTCCAAATTGGACACAATATAACTTAATGACCCATGTAAAAAACATTGAAGAAGATGGACTTGATCTATTAAAGGTAACTGCAAGGAATTCTGTCATGTAACAGTCCTGTCAACTGAAGTGTATAATTTTTTAAGTGCATTTGCAGCCAAGTGTTGCAAGTGCTCCTATTAGCTTCATTGTCAAGAGTCTCTACATGTAAAAACTTCAAAACTGATGGATGGATTTCATGAATTTTGATATAGTGTTTCACTAACATTTGTTGGCACATTGCAATTTTGGTAAAAATTGGACAATAACAGGAACTTTACAGGGACACTTGCATGTGTTTCTTGGCACTAATGCTGTGGTGGGGTATCCCCAGGCTACCTTGGTTATCATGGTGTGACAGTTACATGAGAAACCTTGTGTGGGTATGCCCAGTATGATGTAATGACCCAGCCAGACATCCCACTTATGCAAGGTCACTGACATCTGACATAACTATTACCATTCACAGAGGGCAGAGGTTAAATTCTGGCAAATATTCCATAGTTATTACACTGTGCATACATTTCCTAGCTTTTTCTACAAAACAGGCTATATTCTCTAGTATATTACATGCACTGCATGTTTAAGACAGCATTTTTCCAAGGAAAAAGGTGTCATACTGGAGAAGGTATGGTGTATTTTTTATGTTCTTTTATGCAGACTTATGTCCCTATGTAACAAGATAACATGTATGTTACAGAAAATGCTCATCTATGATCCTCTGGCTCGGATATCAGCCAAAGCTGCGCTGTTACATCCCTTTTTCGATACTGTGGATAAATCTACACTTCCAGTCCGCAGTTAAATCCCACAAAAATGTGAGAATGACCTTAGTTGAAGGTCCTTTCTTCCAAGAACTTTCCTGTGTTTTTGTGATACAGTGCTCCTTGTTAAACTCTGTGAACCAGAAGATAGTTGCAATATGAACACTTCAGAGTTAAAGGTTTTTGCATGTGCTAAATGATGAAAAAATCTGGATACTCTGTCAGACTTCTGAGAACATACTGTTTGGTTATACAAAAGACTGTGATTACAAGACTTCATCCTTTCCATTAACATTTGTTACTATCCAAAACATTTTCCAGGTAATAGCAATCATGTGCTAACAGTGTGAAGACAATGTGCATAATTTAAGGCAAAAATACTTAACCAATGCTACCTGGATTAGGGGAAGAAACAGTTATGTAAAGCTGTGACTATTTTCATTTCTTCAGTTTACATTCTAAAAGATGGATGTTTATACCATTATTTAAGCTATGGAAGGCATTCCCAAACAAATTTTATATTTTAACATCACGCTGTAGGATAACTGAAAGAAATGCATACGAATATTAGTGTGTTTTATTTTAACTACTGTCTGCAAGATAAATGAATATATGTGGCCTGAAGGACTAGGGAGGGTAATGAATTAATGATACTATGGGATTAAAGAATTTTAGTCCCATCTAACACCTCTCTTGGGAAAACAGACAACAAAGAAAGCTGAAAAATATTGTAGTTTGATTACTACTGATGAATCAATGTAACTTACAGTATGAAATATAGTTTTTTGTTATGCAATCCTGGAAATATAGAAGTTTTAATAAATTAATTTTAGGGATTAATTAGATATATTTGTTTTCATTAATTAAAGCTACAAGGTCCAAATTCTCTGGGATACTAAAAGGCATGTGAGTAACTAATGCTTTTAATACTCTGACTGGATCAATGTCAATATCAGATTCAGGCTAAGAATTAGATTTAGATATAAATTTGTGTTCTGGTACTTGAAGGCTGTCCTGTTGTAACTTTATTTCTAACCCTAATTTCTTAGGAACTGCATTTGTAATTAACAGAAATTTGCATAAAATGGAATTTACAGAACCTCAGTGTTTGACCTAATTATCACAGCTTTTATCTCCTTTGAAGGAGATATTTACAAATCACAACACAAGAACTTTACAAGCATCCTATTATTATATTTACTACCACTATTTGTAAAATTAGTCTTAATCGTCCAAGACACAAAGCAAACTGTGAAGTATTTAGTATTAAATGGAACAATACTATTACAGTGAAACCTCGATGCATCGTTTTCGGCGGGGGTGGGAAATAAAAACGATGAATGCGGGAAAGCATTAAAAATTTAAAAAAAAACAATGTTTCTCTTTCAAAGTTACTTCTTTTTACCAAAAAAGTCTTTAATGGACAACTGGTTTGTCGAAACTTTACGTTTTAGGCCAAACAGAGCCCTTTCCACGTTCAAAATGTTTTC